GGAGAAGACAACTTAGGAGACTTCCCTTTGGTCTTCCTGGGATTATACAACCACACCTTGTCTCCTGGTCCAAAGTTGACTTCAGTAGATCTCTTAACAAAAGATAACTTCATCGAATCAGCAGACGTTTTCAAGTTTGAATGCACTTCATGGTGAATATTATACATCCTTTCCGATAACACTTCCACAAACTCCGACATATTCACAGGCAACTCTTCATAAGGTAATTAAGCACAAAGCTACACAATGGGCTATCTGCCCACCACTGGTATCGAAACCCAGTCTATAAAGTTCATGGGCCCTAATTTCTTTTTAAACACATTTTATTTATGCAAAAGTTGCTTGCGTGGGTACATTATTTTGTTGGTTACAAGGTCCCTAATACCATATGATTAACAAAAAGTTTTTAAAAACAAATATGGTATCAATATTTCAGTTAATTTCACTTATTAGTGTTGGGTCTCTTATGCATTTTACACAGAAATGAATGATTTCCCTGAATTACTTAGGTCAGTTTTTACAGATGTTATAAGAGGCAAAAGATAAAACTAATTAATATGATACAATATGTGGACCCCTGGAAACTGCTAGTGAATGATATTAAAGGAAATCGCTAATTTGAAGGTTAAGTATATTTTTGGTTTCAAATTAAAACTTAATGAAATAAACTTTTAAATTGTAAATCCTTCCTGTGAATAAACTCCGGTGTGATACCAATTACTGTGTTTGTATGGACTTTTATATCAACAAGTTATGACGCCACAGAGTTTTTTGGTGATATAGTATACGGTAACAATAGGAAAGGCAGCTAGTCAACACTATCCACTGCTAACTCCTGGGCTACCTTTTACCAACTAAAAATTAGATTGACTGTCACACTATAGCACCTCCATGGCCGAAAGGTCAAGCATGTTTGGTAATGGAGATTGAACCCGCGACTCGTGTTGCAAGTTGAATACCCTGATAATCAGGTCATGCTAGATTTCAACTAGGAAAGATACGACTATGTATATCTCATAGGGATAAACTACAGTAGATACTTCAAGTATCAGACAACTGATAGGGAAATTTAGTTTCACAAATGTTTTAAATGTTAATTAGGTGGAAGGGCTACATTCCAAAACTTCTGAACCAAATATTCTTTCATATACCTCCAACCAATTAGAGTATTCCACGAAGAAATTAGCTAATGGATCTGCTAAGAATAATGCTTATTGGATGTAGCATTGTTGGTATGAGTGTTTGGAAATTTCAGCTCACCTACTCCTACCTATATTTACTTGATTAACGTACTGAAGGTGTTAACGTGAGAAATCGTGTTGGTCACTCAAAATCAGTCACTTTTCAATGTATTAGATCGTCAAGAAATTAATGTCGCGTTTTGGAACACTTTCATTAACCACCCTCCAAAAAACGTACATCACGTATAATACTTAAACAAACCGCCTAAACGTCACATTAATATAGCCTATATAATATGTAATGTTTAGTATGCTCTAAGCCCTTATAGTGATGACACACGACGAGACACACATTTGGCATGTAATGGTGTTTGAATACAAGAAGGGAAACAACGCCCCTGTAGCCACAAAGAATATCAAATAAGTTTATGTAAATATTTTGAACGTTCGTAAGTGCCAACAATGGTTCACCAAATTTCTTTCAGGTGACTTTATCTCTAAAAACTGTAATGATAGAGGCCGACTATGTTGGAATTGATATTGATGCTCTGAAGACG